TTTGGTTCTGCCATCTCTCTGGAAGTTTCTGAAAAATGCCACACTGGGACTGCCCAGAAGGGCAGGTATCAGAGACAGAGTCTGTTAGGCAGGTCAGCTTGTGTTCCCTCTTTGTGTTACAAAGTTAAGTCTGTGCAGTTTCCCACTCAGGACTCTCAGAAAGAGCATCTGCATATGGCTTAGTGAGTCTGGATCTACTTTAAGGGCCCAGGGGCTGGCTCCTTCTCAGAAGTCACCTATTCCCTGCCAACTAGCCATCCGACACAGCCTGGGCAGCCACAAGGCTCTAAGAGGAACCACTGACTTCAATGGCCTCACTCAGCGTGGAGAAAGTAGACCTGGGAGTTGCGGAGATTTCCCTACTGTCTTGGCTACCCCTTGCCCTGGTAATGGGGGATCACAGAAGCCAAGAATCTGCTTGAGTCACCTTCCTGCAATCAGAAAGAAGCTTTCAGGAGCAGGGCCTGACAACAGTGAGCCAGGGCACAGAGGGCAGATTGGAGGCTAGAGCCCAAGAAGCTAAGGCAATTTTCACCAGAGCCAGAGCACAAAGCCCAGATTAGAATTTGGTTCAGATACACCTGGCTCTGCTGCATAGACTTGAACATTCCACATGCATCCCCATGACTGGCAGAGCCTGCTCCTTGGCACCCAAAGGGATCTTTATCAAGGTCCTCAGTGAAGGTAGAGTACAAAAGGACTGCTTTCTAATAACTAAGCTCATTTCCTAAGGAAGCACATTTACTAAGTAGTGCAGATTTGTGTGTTTCCATTGACATACTTGCTATCTCTGCAACAGAAAACATAGAATCTCTTTGTATGAGTTATCAAGTCTTCTTCACAAGGTAATTGATTGACACTCCAAGTCAACAACAGAACGGAAGGCAGACCTCCTTGCCTGTTTTCTTTCCTACCCTACTCTGCACTTTCACCCATACTACACTCTGAGCTACACTGGGCCCGGGGAAAGGATGATCTTTCTTCTATCAGAATCAATGCAGCAGCTCTAAACATGGTGTACCTCTCTCATACAGGTGTTTAAAGTTTAGTTTCAAAGTTTAGTTTAAGTTTGTACAAATCTGCTACTGTGATGTAATGATTAAATAGAAGGGGCGTTTTAAGATTTAAATTCAGACAAGAGAGCTTGAATCCCAAATTTGTAACATTAAAATTATGGACAAACAAATATAAGTATGTTCTTAGCTGGTATGTGGAGGTTCTGGGTAAGTTACAGACATTCACTGAGTCTCTTTTTCCCCTAGAGGCTGCTAAAAGGACTTAACAGTCACTGTACAATGCTGCTTTATAAAGGCCCCTTTAGTTAAATGAGATAATAACTTAGCACTGTGCAAAAAATAGCTGAGCACCATACCTGGTAAGCTATCATCAATAAAAGTAGAACTGAACATATTCATGGAAAAACTAATTTCAGAAGAAGTAACCCTAAAAGAACTGAGCAGAATCTCCAGCAGCTCGCCACCTGGGACTTTGCCCACCCAAGCCCCAGGGCTCCTGCCCCTGCCCCAATCCTTCCCCCATACTCTACCATGTCAGCAATGTTTGCGTCCAAGAAACAAATTCCATAACAGCACTCAGGGCTTTGTACTTACCTTTCTTTTTGTGTGGTTTTTTTTTGGGGGGGGGAGGGGAGGGCCACACTTATCTGTGCTAAAGACTTACTCCAGATTGAGGGATCACATCTGGTGTGTGAATTCTGTTTTTTTCCTGTGACTTTGGCAGGCCTTTTTAACCTGTCCTTTTCCCACATGCATCTGTGAGATGCAGGGACCGGCAATATTACAGAATTCATTAGAGGAATTAAATGAGCTAGCATGTATTAATGGGAATTAAGTGATCTAGCATTCAGGAAGCACGTTAATCCAAGAGAAATAACAGTCCTTGACTTTTTTTACTGTACTGATAACAATTATTATCATTCGCATTTTATTATTCCACCAGAATGTGAGTGCTTTAAGAATAGAGTCTGTTGGGTCTGAGAGATAATACATAGGCTAAGACGCATGGCGAGCATGTAGTAGACCCTGTTTCGATACTCCACATGGTCCCCTGAGCACAGCCAGGAGTGATACTTGAGCACGGACCCAGGAGTAAGACCTGAGCACTGCTGGCTGTAGCCGCAAAACCAAGAAAAAGAGTAGACGCTATTTTGTTCTGTGGTTGGTCATGAAATACAATGAGTATACAGTTGTGCAAGATCCTGCATTGTGCCTGTATTATCACCTCCTTTGCACCCAGGAGCACTGAGTCTCTGTCTAAAAGATCCCAGTAGCTGTGAGGTTGCACTCAGAACACCTTCAACAGCATTTGCTGAAAGCAGACATAAGTGAGTTCCAGAGCTGCGCTTACACTTCACGGTCTTTGGGCCCTGGTGTATAATGGTAACTGGAAGATCTTGAAAACTAGTCTACGTAGGAATTATCTCTCATAGTGAGAGAAATTTCCCCCAAGGTGCTGTGCCCTTGTGCCCTCTTCCTGCACTGTGCCCTCCCCAGGGGTTCCTCACTGTCATTTGCCACTGAGAGCTCCAGTTTTAAAGGCGCAGACCAAGTCTGGTTGGAGAAAAGCCAGACACAGCTTGTCTGTGAATCCAGCTAGGAGCAAACGCCTCCTCTCTGCTGTGCTTCGGGTTCTTCACCTTCCCTGATGCACCACGAGAAGTCACCTTCTCCAGAAAGGAGTGAAACAACCCTCCCCCTGTATTTATCAGTCTTCCAGCATCAGCATCTGTATCTAAACTGAAAACAAAAACAAAAACAAATCAGCAGCAAGGAGATCACATCGAATGTGAGTAAATTCTGTCTGTAGTCATTATTGAATTACAGCTCAAGTAAAAAGTGCTATTCTAAGGCTCTCGGTAGCCAAAAACCACTCATTGTTCCAAGTGCAAACAGATTTCTGATTGAAGCAATCCTGTGTGTGTTGTGATCAGGGGAGAGAGCAGGGCACTGCATGCAGCTCAGAGTTTGAGGAGCTGCCTTTAATCTCTCCACCTCACTATGTCTATGTAGGTCATACATTTCCTTTTACCCTCATGGCAGTAAAACGAGGCAGGTGAGTTTAGCCTCTCCCGGCTGCGTGCATGGACTCTAGAGATAGAATGATCACGAGGATTGTTCTTGACAAACAAGTGTGGAAGGCACCTGGGATTTCCTTGTTTCACTGAGAACATTGCACGCAGTTGCAGCCTCTGCACAATGTGGGATGTCCAGAAGCCTCCGCTCCACCTTGGCCATGGCCATGCTGGCCCTGTGCTCTCTCCCTGCCCACTGCCCTTGGACCGCCCAGCCCTGCACCTGCACTTGGAAAGTTGCTGCTCCCCCAGAGGCCATCTGACATTCCCTAGCCCCGGCTTGGTGGGGGCCTGGCTGTTTAGTTCTCTGGCTTCTAGGTCAAAGACATTCCAGGGAGGAGGCCTTGCCTTTAAACAGCTTCCAGTAGCCCCCGCTGAGCACTCAAGAGTGGAAGTGAGTCACCTCCCAGCTCTGCCATTAACTTCTGTTATCCTAGACTGACCACCCAAACCCCTTCCTCTGTAAACAGGGCAGAGTAGGGGAACGTGGAGAATCTGACCATGCTGTGATCGGTCCAGTAAAGTGCAAACTTCCATCCACTTGAGCCCATCTGTGTGCATAGTTGGGCTACTGACCAGAGGAGAATCCCTGTTCCTAGTGACCAGGGACAGCTTCTCAAAGAAAAATGTCAGCAGTTTATTTTGACACTATAAAATGTGAAGGGGAAAAAAAGAACTAACATACAGATTTTTTTAAAGTTTACCATCAATCCATTACCAGCAGAGCCATTATTATCACTTTAGTAAATATCCCTCATCCTTTCCTTCCATTTCACTATGGATCTAGATCTAGGAACCTACGCATAACATTAGGAATAGTCTCGGGTTATTTAATATTATTTGGAAAATATAATGCCTACATAGGAATGACTTGCATGCTAGTTCTATAATGTGCTTTGACTGATAATACAGTCACTCCCTAATTGTTAGGAATTTAGCTTGTTATCCTTCATCATCATCATCATCATCATCATCATCATCATCATCATTATCTCTGCAAACATGCTTGATTGTTTCCTTGAGCTAAAAGTAGAACTGCTAGTCATACTGAGAAAGTGTAAGAGACAGTGATAACAACTTTCCCCTTCCCCCTTCTTCAGACCCCTTAAGGATTGTACCCATTTGCCTCCCAGCACCTGAGAGAGAGGAGGCTGGGGGAGGGGACTTAAATTGGTCTTTTTTCACCTGGTGGGATTTTCTGGTCATCCCAGGAGGGGAGATGCATGTCGAAAGTAGACTATGGACTGAACATGTTTGCCACTCAATGCCTCTTTTGCAGACCACAACACCCAAAAGAATAGAGAGAACAAAAGGGAATGCCCTGCCACAGAGGCAGGGTGGGATGGGGGATGGGGGTGGGGGATATTATCCATGGTGGTGGAAAATGGGCACTGGTGGAGGGATGGGTATCTGATCATTGTATAATCGAAACCCAAGCACAAAAAATTGTAAATCTACAACTGTAAAATAAATAAATAAATAAATAAAATAAAGGGAAAAAATTAAAAAAAACAGATGTGCAAACAATGTTTTGGTGAGCTACACATTCAAAAATTGGGGGCTGCCTGTAAAAAAAAAAAGTGAATGGCATTTGGGCCAACTGGTGTGGCCAAACACACACACACACACACATACACACACATACACACACACACAAAATATTGCTCAAAGAGAGAAGAAGGACCTCTCTGAAAAGGCAAATCCCTCTCTTCTTGAAATGGAGGGTGTTGTCCAGAATGCTGGGCAAAGTCCCAACCATTTGCTTGGCAAACAATGCTGCTCTTTGGGCCTTAATTCTGCCTATTGATGACGGGAGTGCACCCGGGGAGACACACTGCGTTGCCCTAATCCAGCTGGTTGTACACTGGCCTGACCCCAGCTGACCACATTCTCTCTCTTGACCCCTTAGTCCGACGGCTCCATCCTGGCAATTGCGCTGCTGATCCTCTTCCTGCTCCTGGCCCTGGCTCTTCTCTGGTGGTTCTGGCCCCTCTGCTGCACTGTGGTAAGTGTCCCCAGCACCTGCTCCTCCATCTCAGGCTTCTAGACACCATGCAAAGCCCAGGAGGACACAAAGTTCACATAGCCATAAGATAAACACCTGTGGACAGGAAACACACCTTAAATTGTTTATAGAATTTATATGAGATATTCTATTTAATTGATAACACAATTTTATACATTAAATAACAAATACTATTATATATTGTGAGACTTGTTATTACTGTGTTTGGCATATTGAATATGTCACGGGGAGCTTGCTAGGCTTTGCCATATGGGCGAGATACTCTCAGTAGCTTGCCAGGTTCCCTAAGAGGGGCAGAGGAATTGAATCCCGGTTGGTCCACCACGCACAAGGCAAACGCCCTACCGCTGTGCTATTGTTCCAGCCCAATAATAATAATAATAATAACAATAATAATAATATAGTGGTAGTAGTAGTAGTAGTGGCAATGATAGTACTAATTTCTCTTAGAGGGAATCTAATAGAAGATTCAGAGCATGAAAAATCATACATATTTTCTAGCATAGCTCCTAATCCTAAACTCTTCTGCCATGTATCCAATTCAATAATCCAATAATGATTGGATACATTATATATTAAATAATTTATATTATATAGTTTATATAACACAATGGCATACACTACTATCGGTCAATGGAACCACAGGTCATTAAGAGTTGATGTGGAATGAGTGAGATTTTCAACAAGCACTTAGGAAGGGCCTCTGGGGTGGCTGCTCTGGTTCTTCAGTTCTGGTTGGGAAGGAGGATCCACAAAAGTACTGTGAGTATTATTTAACATGTAATAAATCTGAGTGTTTCACACACAAACACACACACACACACGTTAAGTTGCCTTAGTTCATCCTCTTTCAAGGTCAGCCTGGTCTTAGCAACCCATCTGCCCATCTGAGACAGTGATTCATTTATTTTTGACAATAAAGAGTGGCTTCTACATGTATTTTATTCCTTTCTCCCCCTTCCCGTTCCTTTGTTGTTGTGATTGTGATGACCAGAAGTTGCACACGTGGTTGAGGTGCTGCCAGGATTGCACTCAGCATGTGGGTTGATGCCGAGATCAAACACGCAGCCTCATGCCGGGCAAGGCAAACTACCACTGAGCCACATCCTTAGGCCTCTTTTTTATAACTTTGAGCTAGAACTTATGAACCGCTTATACCATGTGCCAAACACTGGTTATAAGTACATTGGCTATAAGATCAGTTAGGACTTGCCAATCCTCCACCCTCAGCTAAAATCACCACTTAGCTCTTGCTAATATCATTCCAAATAGCTTAGAATTTAGTACCTGTTTATCAAGTTCTATAACCTGACTGCTAGGAAAAGCCCAAAGTAATAGCCTAATAAAGTAAAAATTAAAACAAACAAAAAAATCAGCATTAGCTCACCCTGTGTCTTTGGCTAGCATGCGTCATGCATTTATGCAAGGTCAGGGTGTTCAGTAAAACCCCAGAGAGTGTCCCCTGAGCATTACTCTGCCACATTCCCTGTTTCTTAACTCCTTCTGCAGAGGACCACACAGTAAGTCTCTCTAGGCAAGTGCCTGTTTTCATGTACCTCTGAAATTCCAACAGTCAGCACACGTTACCAGGGGCCACCATACAACTGATGGTGGAATTGATCAGATTAAAGATCAATGGGACATTCCATTTGAAAGAGGGTAATCACTCTAAAAGGAGATTTGAAGAGGGGAGGGATGAGAAATGCAACCAATATGTGAGTCGGCTTGGCAGGAACTCCTGGAAACAAAGAGGCTCAGGCACCATGTGAGGCCAGGTTGACAGAAAGAGAGAACTTGTAGCTGGCAAGAACATGGGTGTGCCCGGGGAAGGCCAAAGACAGACACAGGCTCAGTTTCAATGGTGCAATCCAGACCGAGCCGACTTCTCCAAGATTCTAAACAGATTCTTACCACTGTGGCCCAAAGAGTTCAATGTTGTTTTAAATATTTCAAGCTGTGCAGCCATTTTCTTCTGAGGGAAGAAAAAGAACAAAAAAAAAAAAATCTCATGAGTCAGCCACAGTGCTTTGTGATTCAGAAACAAGCACAGTTTCAAAGGTGTACAAACTCTGGAGGAAAGGAGGATCCTCCTCCTGGGCTATTTAAGGAAGTATCAGAGAGGGGTGGGGGGGACACCAGGCAGAGACTCTGAGGCTTCAGTGGGAATCAGCGCCCAGTTCACCAAGTTCCTTTGATGATTGAAAGCAGCCGGAGCCCTGAGCTTGCTCTCTGGGAAGGCGCAATGCAAGCAGGAGGCCATGGAGGCCCCCCGACCACACCCATGTGCCATGCCAGAGTCTTTGCCACTTGGAATCCCTGGCTCTCTCCACCAAGTGTGTGAGTACAATAAAAGTGTGTGATTCCCTGTCATTGCAGAAACAACAACAAAAGGAAGAAAAGAACAGAAATAAAAAAAATAACTAAAACAAAATCAGTTAGCTCTGGGTGGGGACAACTAGAAACAATAAAACAGCCAAGTGGTGTACACCAAGCTGTGTGAGCTCAGCAGGTTGTCTCATCAGTCTGTGCCTGGCTTTCCTCATCTGTCTAATGCGGACCGTCACATGCTGAGCTCATATTAGATGGCAAAATTCGATAGAGCATAGACTCGCACATATATGTTACCTTGGAGCCATTGAGACTGCTCAAAGAACTGGCACACATGCCTGACATGAGTGAGGTCCCAGGCTCCATCCCTGGCACCACATGGACTCCCCAAGTACTGCTAAGTATAAACTTGGTGGCTCCTGTGTACCCCTGAGGTGATTCTGGTGCTTTGTGCTATGACATTAATTGAACAAAGAAATCTAAAGGTGAAAAGTGGCTGGTACTACCCACTGCATTGTGCTTTTCCCAAAATGATCCCATTCCTGTGTGGACTTCTATCCTCTGGCAAGGTGAAATCTAGGTTAATTTATTGCCAGTACTGCAAAGCATTTGTATCAGTGTTGACTGATGGAGAGAGAGGGGGATGGGGAAAAATGATAGAGAGAGAGAGAGAGAGAGATCCCATATCAAGACCTCTAAACATTTTATTTTTATGAGTCCTGCATTTATTTATTGGCACAAAAACGTGGCACCGAAGGGGAAAGGTCATTGGGATGTGTACCTTGAGCTTAGTGCATTTTCAAAAAAGGAATTTAGCAATTTAGCAGGTCCATGCTTAAAAAGAAAAAATATAGTCCTGCCTCAGTTCCACAAGGGGCATTGATAGAACCTCAAAAACCAGGTTGTGGCCATGTCCCCTACTCATCAACTTGTTCCAATATTATTGTATCTCTAACTTGAACTTTAAAAAGTCTAAGTCTAGAAATAGGAGTGTCATAAGAATATTGGAACAGATTACAAGAGTAAGTGTTATAAAAGCTTCAGCTATGTCAAGAACCAAAGTCCACAGTATCTTGATGGTAACAGGACACTAAACTGTTCTGGAAAAAATACAGGCAACCCCACAAATCTACCATTATTCTCAACTTGATGCAAACTTGCCACCCAACAAGTCTAGTAGCTTAATGTCATGGGCAAAGGCTCCCACGTGGCAGCAGGTGGGAAAACCCTGATGAATTCTAATTATCAATAGAGACTAACCCCTGCAAATCAAAAACATGGGATGTAGATAGAATACTGGACTGCTCTCTTAACCTACTAAGTCTGAGAGTGTTCTTATTCTATTTAGTCAAACTCTTAACCCCTTAACCCCTCTCATGACCCCTCTTACTGCCATCTCCCACCTCTAGCCCTGCCCATTCCTACAGTTGTTCATCTTCCTCTCTCCTTCACCTGAGCACGCTGATGGGGAACACTATCTGGGTCCTTGATCCTTATGGAAGTCCAGAGCCCAAATTGCAGACACAGTAATCTAAACTGTTGCCAGTCTAATGTCGATCCTTTCCCTACCTCTGGCCCTATGACCCTGCTTCTCGCTCTGTGAGACCCATTTGTGTGTATCATCTAAATACCTTCCCCTGCACACGGCTTCCACTATTCCTTTAGACTCTTTTCTGACTGCATTTCTTCCCACCTCACTAAATTCCTATATAAATAAAATACTGTTCTGTTTTTGTTTTATTTTTAGTGACTTTGTAGGTATCTTGAGAATCTTTTTTTAATTATTTGAGGAATTATATTGAATTAATTTTATTGAATTTTGAGAATAGTTCAACAAAGGAGCCCCTTGGATATCTCCAAAGGACAATTACAAAAGACAAAATTCAAGATCTCGATATGCATTAAGTTTTTTTTTTGCCTTAAGTTTAAATAAAAACAGTTTTCAAGTAATACTCTCCACACTTTTAAGTATAAGGCTTAAAAATTTATAATCCCAGACAGCCAAGTCTAGCATCACCAAAGAGATTGATGGATGCTTTGTTTAGCAGAATCTGACAAATGCAAGCAGCTTCTGATCCAGGCATCTTGGTCCCCTTCTCATTGTGATTTCTGGATCGCTTTCCAACCTCCTCCCATTCCCATCTGGTCACTCCTCGTACTGCAGTTTGGAAGTGTCTTGCTCAGCAGCATGCAGAGCTCTGTCATGGTCTCCTGAGCTGTGTGTGACATAGATAGATCGCACAGAACTGACATAGGACATACCAAACCCAGGAGGCCAGGGAGACAGCCGCAAACTTGGCTTTAAGAAATCAACAAGAAGTTCCAGAATATACAGTGTTTTAAATCAAAGATTTCAAAACTCTAGCCAACTGAAGACAACATTTATTTGGTCTACTCCCTCTGAGCATGCAAAGAGGCCATTATTTGTGGAAAATCAATTAGTGTTAACTAATAGCCTACATGGCAAAGCAAAACATGAAAACCCTTGGGGGAAAAGGTATTATAAAAGTTGTTTTAAATGCCTATCTAAGATCACAGGATAATAAGGGACAATTCCCGGGTCAAAATAAAGAAGGCTCTAGAGATTAGAGGTTTAGGTAACTCAAAACAAGGTACTGTCCTTTGGAAACATGTATTACCTCAATAGCCAA